TGTTAAATCAAAACTAGGAAAGTTATAAGATGGTTTGAATGCACACAAGGACAAGGCAGTGCATACAGTTCCTGAGCATAGCCACAGCCCCTCTTTTGATCCCTGTAAATAAATAAGAGAGATAGAGAGAGAAAGAGTCAGAGAGAGAGACAGAGACAAAGAGACAGAGAGACAGAGGAAGGAAGGAAAGAAGGAAGGAAGGAAGTAAGGAAGGAAGGAAGGAAGGAAGGATTCAGCAAGAGTGCCAAGGCCCATAATTTTCTAATTGTTGATTTAAACATTCAGAATTACTTTGCTCATGTGTAAGCAGAATGAAAGGAGAAAAAAATGCAAGTCAAGGGCTTAAAACGATGCCTGGTATTCAGTAAAGCCTGCATACCTGTTTACAATATTTCAATCGAAAGTCATTTGTATAATGTTCAAAGTATAGACAAGGACTCACACCACTCAAATAGAAGGATTTGATCTGTCTGCTCTATGGACTAGATATGATATATTCACATGTAACACCATCACTACCTGCCAACAATTGTTGAAGGCCACAGCATTTTCTTCCAGTTTAAAGATTTTTATCCCTGCTTTGAGGTTTTGTGTATACAAATAGTTTCTCATTGACTTTTCATGTTTAGATTGGATGGATAATGCTAGTTACTATGGGATCATCTCCTATTGAATCTGTGGTTGCTGCCGGCAATATATTTGTTGGACAGGTAAGTTGTAATATCAAAAAATAAAACAAAACACCTGCTGAAGTGGATACTCTTTTTAGAAAGTGGAATTTTTAAAAAATTGACTTGTGTTACTTCTTTTAGTGTAGGGGAAGGGAGTCAAAAAAGGAACTCTCAGTATTGATAACATCTAGAATCCAGAGAGAGAGAAAAAGTCAGAATGAGAGAGAGCAAGAGAGAGAAAAAAAGAGAGAGAGAGAGATCTCTTCCAAGAGTCTAGGTGCACTAACGTGGGATTTGGGTTTTTGAAAATTTATGGAGAGGAAAAATGATTGATTCATTTTATCAAAGCATTGGGCTTCTCATTTATAAATTCTGAACAAATCTTTTCTGAATTTATTGAACTGTTGAGGTCTCTGGCTCACCTTTCAGAAGCTAGCAGCTTGTCCACTCAAATGGAGTTGACCATTTATACTGCAGCTGCAAACATGCACAGGCAGCCTCTCATTCTACAGTATAATGATCATGGTAATGAAAGAGATCAAGAAAGGCTTTTGACCAACAACCATAAAGCTGTACAAATACTTGAGCTCATTCACACCTGTCTGAACTGGGCAACAGTCTTGTCTTTGCCGATGAGCAAAAAAGCCCTTTCACTTCCTTGACCCATCACATAGATAAATGTTCTTTTGCCTTAAGTTCATTTAAGTAAAAAAAAAAAAAAAAAAAAAAATGCCAGGGGATATCCCTCAAAACAGCAGCATTCCTAAAGTGTAGTTGAGTAAGAAATAGTAATGATCACCCTCTTCACTCGGGATGTGTAGCTTCAGGCAGAATGGCATCACACACGTGGAAACCAAGTGTGAATGCTTGCTAGCATGGCTGCTGAAGGAAATTGGATTTGAAGCTAAAACCAAGTAACCCAGAAAAACACATGGCCCCAGATCCTAGGCTTACAACTGCTCCAAGCAGGCTGAGCCTTCTTATTGGTAAGCCCAGCTTCTAGCCTGGAGCATAGTCTTTCAAATGGGGCCCATACTTCCTTCCGTAGGAGTTGATTATTGTAATTACAGTCATAAAGTCTCTCAGGACTAATTAGGGCACCATCTTGAGTTGATTACTCCTACCTGCAGGGTGAGAGGGCTCACGTACTGAGTTCCTATTTAGTCCATAAATTGAAGCTCAACACATTCAATTTTACAAAACAATTAAAAATAATGAGGGGAAAATTGTAAAATTGCGCACATGCTTCTATGGTGCTCAATTTGATACTTAACATGCTAAAAATACAGCTATTATTTATGGAGAGCCCCACTCTACAGGCAGTCAGCCTGCCCTCCTTAATGGGCCTCAAGCGTTTACAACTACACCCACTCCAAGTCCTTTCCACCCAAGGGGAAGAGAAGGGTCTCTGATTCTCAATGAGAAAAGGGTTTGCGGGCCCCTGTCCTTGTTATTGCTAGTATCTATCTATCTATCTATCTATCTATCTATCTATCTATATACACACACATACACACACACATATATATATACACACATACACACACACACAGTTCCTGAGCATAGCCACAGCCCCTCTTTTGTGTGTGTGTGTGTGTGTGTGTGTGTGTGTGTGTGTGTGTGTGTGTCTACTTGTGTCTCTATTTCCCTGTGGTGTCAGCAAAGTGGTTTAGGGTCTGTCAAATGAAGCTGGAAAGTGGAAAGTCACAGCGGCTTGTGAATCACAATTCTCAAGGCCAGGCCATTAGGTGGAGTTACTTGGCCAATGAGGTTCCCACCTTATAAAAGCGCACGCAGCCACCAGAATTCAATCCTAGGATAGGTTGGGGCCATTTGGCCTTGCAAGCTTTGCAAACTTTACACATGGCTCTGTACCATAAGCAAAGTGACCTGGAGTTTAAATGACTCAGACATCAATGGCATGGGTCCTCAAACTTTAGCATGCATCAGAACCATCTGGATTGCTTGCCCTACTCCCAGAGTTTCCGATTCAGTCAGTCTGAGAATTTGCATGGCTAAGGAGTTCCCATGTGATGCTGATGGAGCTGGTCTGAGGTACACTCTTAGAAATACTGCTTTTAGAGAATGGAAATTTGAGTAGATTGGCAAAAACTCCCCAAATTTGAAAGGGAACATTTAATCTTGTTCTTCGTTTCCAGTCCGAGTCTCCACTGCTGGTCCGACCGTATTTACCGTACATCACCAGATCCGAACTCCACGCGATCATGACTGCTGGGTTCTCTACCATTGCTGGAAGTGTCTTAGGCGCATACATTTCTTTTGGGGTAAGAATATTTGGGGGTTAATTTATGGAAAGGATAATCTCTTCTTTCTTTACTTTTGTTATTTCTTTTTTTCTTTCTTTCTTTTTTTTTTCCTTTTCCATTGCTACTGGGTAAGGAGGTCCAAAGAGTGTTCTTTTTTCTATACAGTTAGTCACAGTTCCTTTGGCATTTGAGTGGAGTGACCCCCAAGGAGCTTTGGGGCTTCATTCAGATCCCTGCCACCTAAAGGTGAATTATATCCAACCATAACAGAATGAAATCATGTTATGAGGTTACTTTGGCTGAAAATTTAAATTGTCTAAAAATAAATAAATAAAACTATTACTGACATTAGTAAAGGTAATCTAGACCAGGGGTCAGTAGACTGTGGCCCATGAGCCAAATCTAGATCACTCCCTTTTTTTTTGTAATTGAAGTTTATTTGGAAACTAGCTACTCCCATTTGTTTCTCTATGGCAGCTATTATGCTAGAGTTGAATAGTTGTGGTCCTACAGGTCAAAAATATTTGCTCCCTGGCCCTTTACAGTAAATGCTTTCTGACCTCCGGCCTACAGCAGCGGTTCCCAAACTTTACTGCACGTTAGAATCACCCTGGAGCTTTTAGAAACCCTTATGCCCAGGCCCATATCTCAGAGTAATTAAACCAGAATCTCCTGGGATGAGACCCAGGCATCAATATATATTTTAAATCCCCAGATTCCAATGTGCATCCCAGTTAGGGAGCTGGTGGCCTATGGTATGGGGCTGGAGAACATCATGATAGCTGGTGCACATGCCCCAAGCACAGAGCTTACAAGCCACACATAGAGGCAAACCCCTAGTGGAGAAATAGGATAGAAGTGACCCAGGTGATTAGGAATTCTTACGACATAGGCAAGTTTCATTCCAAGACTTCATCTGGGCCTCGGAGAGCCAATGAGTAGGAAGAGGGAGGAAGAAAAGGGGCAAGGGGACATCAGAAATAGCAGCTGGACAAGCTCCAGATAGCAGTAGGGAGAGGTGCTGATTCTGGAATTCTGAAAACAGGGACAAGGATGGAGAAACAGTAAGGTTTGGGAAGGGGTGGGGAAAGAG